CCCCCCCCCCACCCCAAACCCTAACACTTTCTTATCTGTCATAAAATTTAGAATTCTGAGATATGTTAGGATTTATTTAAAAGGTTCAACTTTTCCCCTCCTCTTCATTTCTCGGTCTATTCTCTATCTGATCCTTCCCCTGTCCCATTCTGTACGAACCCGATACAAAGCACATCAGAACACGAGTGCCTTTGTGTGTGTGTGTGTGTGTGTGCTTGTGTATGCGTATGCATGCAGAAATGCCAGTCATATTTGATTTTACTCAGTATCGCACACTGAGACCATGTGAATTATACGATTCTCCATCAAGAATGAGTAGCTTTTTTCTGTTATCCGGCTATGGTCTAAAAAGCGGAACAGAATAGCCTTCTCTACTGTTTCTATTTATAATACACATGAGTAACCAAACAAATTTAAAATGTGAGACATCCAGAAATACTTCATTCAGGTCGTTTTCCGACTGCTGACTTCGGACATCCTACAAAGTGCTTGGGATAAACATTATTGAATAAAATGAGGCGGTATTTTCGATTGCCAGTTAGTCCTTTGCGCTGTGCAGAAATAAACTTCAACTGAACATCGCCTACAGGCGATGGGCAAAATTTGCCAGCTGCAGATAGTGTGCACTCTATTAGTTATTTAGAATTTTGCCTAAATCTTTTACAAATATCTTCACCAAGAAGTTGATTCAGCGTCCAGAATATCTCGGATAGCACGTTTCCGTGAGCATCGGCCTTTATTGTGATCGAATCTGGTGGTTTAACCGCAGATTGATAGGTCGAGTGTAGAGCCAAGTGTTCCACATCCTACTATACCGTGTTCGCCCATGTTTTAAGATGTCCCTCAGATATCCGGGTTGTTTTATTTGGCGTCCAGACAATCGATCATAAAAATGCCAATGACGATTATTTTGTTTTTAATAAATGCATTCGGTACAATACTAGCAGTTCTCATTCACTTTGTTGTGCTTGGACATGAGCGAATTTAACATGTTGCCCCAATCATAGGATGAAATTGTCTTTGGTGATGCTCACTGATACTCGCTGGTTTAAACACGGGGAGCAAGTCATTGTTGCTGTTCCGATCGATAACACAACCTCAGCCACTTTACTCCTCATGTTTTAGCATGTGGGGAATATTGATACCACAAGGTCACATACGAACACATCGGTAATTCCGGTCAAGGCTTTCTTCAACCTGGTCAAAGATTTCCGTGGCATGAAACGGGTGGAGGTGCCGACTGGATCATGTGATCCAAATGAAAGCCAGGCAAAAAGTGATACGCGGACAATGCAATGCCGTTGTCTATGATTTCACGACTGATCGAAGTACACGGCCTCATATTTACCTTCTTCATATCATTATCGTGTCCGCGGCACACACCACACGCTAGCCTATTCGCTTCGTGTGTGCTGATGTTCGCCCGCAGTGCACATTTAATAAAGCACTTGTGGGGGACTGTAGGAGGTATGTCTGTGGGGTGGGAGAGGAAGTAAACGTGATCAGTAGATCAGCAAAGGAGCAAACATACCGGACTCTGTTCCTATTGGATACAAGATTGAATGATTGCATTCCAGAATACGGAGCACTCTAACAGCTTTCACTATTACATCTGCCCTCCCCCCCCCGGCCCCTTTGTCAAGCAGACCTGATTTTCACGGTTTATGCGTATACTGGTTTATCACACTCTGAATGCAATCCTGTCAATTTGGTGGCCAATTGAATTCAAGCATCTCAGAATTGTCGCATCATCTTTGCATGGTCCACCATTCTCTCTCTCTCTCTCTCTCTGGTCGTTGTTGAAAATCATCTGTACATTTGCACCAATATGCACCATGTGGTTAATGTCTGTGTAGAATCCATCTCCTGTGATTTTGCACTCTTATAGGACCCGGAAAATGGATGAACACCAGGAACTGCGATATAACATTTTAATCATTATTATGTGCGCCCACACGATGTTTAAAAATTTGCATGGTCTATTTGTGACGAAATAAACAGTGATTTCTACAATTCTGTTTTGTTCTTTTCATTGTGGTTAAAAATATGGTGTTTAGGTCAGGCATAATTCAAATTACATAGCCTCACGTGATCTTGCGTCATTAGATAAATTAAACTATTTTGTGCTGCTGAGCTCACCTTAATATTGAAACAGTTCAGATCGAGGCATTCATTTATCCCGAGATAATTTACTTTTCCTCAGTGCAATGAGTCGGATCAAGTTGTCAAATTTCAACCTAAAATCTGGTCTGATTTCATTGCACTGAGACATTCAGTCGGTTCTCAAAACTACTCTTTAAAACGGTTTCACGCAAAAAAAAACGAGGGAAAAGCAGAAGCAACAGTGCTTCGATTTCCTCGGTCACGTATAGTGCTTAAACTTCACTGAACCATGGGCTTTTAGGATTGATTGATCATTTTTTACTTCGTTGTTTCACTCCATACATATACAGACCGGATCGTGCCGGCTCACAATTGTTTATTTTCAGTCCTCAATCCAGTTTGGGGAGCGACAGATATGCACTGTAATGATTCCTGAAAAGGATCTGCACATTGTCGATTCCACGGGTTTCATTATTGACCTAGGCATCGATTCTGCATGCCAAACGATTTCCTAAACAAAGTCAGCTTGACCGACCGAAATTAAATCATCTTCCTCCATTCGTTTGGAGGGGGCATATCACGTGTCGTTGCGTGACGACCAATAGACCAATAGACATTTTAGCACAACCTCCCAATATCCCGGCTACCCGGTGAGGTCAATCCGGTGTATCGTTCACCAGATCCCGTAAGCTTTTCAGTAGTGCAGAACGCTTTTGTGCTGCGAACTTACTCTGGTCTCATACAGAGAAGCGAAATCGACAAGACTCGCATTCTCGGTTACTCGAAGCTGAAAGGTCAGGTTTGCAATAAACCCACAAGGCAAAGTCCATGAACCTGAACGTTTCAGTGAGATGCAATCACACACTCAACTATCATTGGCGCAAATTTCCAAGTACTGCAGTTCGATCGATTAGTTTTGGTGTGTGACTAATCTTACGAGAGCATACACGCACATATATACACACACAATGTGCAACATTCGCTGCTCTCATCAAGAACACACAGATGTTAATATCTCTGCCTATATACTCCTTATTGGTCCTCTTTCAAAAAATCCGCGATTATGCGAGGAAAAACACGCAAAACACGGATTCGTTTGTAGCAAAATCATCAACTGGCGTTTGAGTAGCTTTGCTCTCGCATGAAAATCAACAAATGCACTGCTTATATTTCTCGCACACTCTGCCAATCGATCATAAGCTACAAATGGAGTTTGGTACAATATTTCTATAGGTTACCCACCTCGACAGTATAAAATTGCAAACTAGCGATTTCTTCTTCCTCATCAAATGAAAACGGTCGTCAGTTAGCACAGTGAGAGAAATCCTCATTCAAATCGTGTTTTATCATCATATGGCCATATTGCCCGCTTACTTAATGTGAATATTTTAACGTTCAACAAAGTGTTGATCAGTACCGTCGAATGAAGTCTTCTGACGCAGGTATTCACACACACACACACACACACACACACACACACACACACACACACACACCGGTTAACTTTTAAAGTTTTTGACTATTTCTTTGAAAATCGTTGTTGCATATAAAAGATCAAACCTGTTGAGTTTATATTCATTCAAATCATTTTATATTCCAATCGTTTACTGAATCCTTAACTCATCTTGTCACAGGCTCCGGTTTTCATTTATTTTTACCACCTTTACTTCACTTATTTCCTCATGACGTTCCATGTGTTTACCCGCTTTTCCACGTCTCTCACGGATCCGGTTGAGCGTGCACTGTTCGTTTGTACCCTTCTGCTACCATACATCAATCTCGCGGTAGATTCATTTCATTCATTACATTGATTTGTCTACATGGACGGTGGTTTGTGTCATTTCGTACAGTCACTCACTCTGGCTATGCTATGCTCCCGATTATTAGCGCAGTACCTATACAATCTCTAATGCAAGACGATCAAAAGTCGGGATCGTATTGCCTTAAATTGGTCGCTGTCCCACAGTACTACTCATGTGAATTTTTGTTGAAGAAATATTCTGACTTTTAGCTATGCAGATTACGTATAATTTAGCAATTCAATTGGGTGATTCAGCTGTTCATATTCGAGAACATAATGAAGTAATTGAAGCACACTTTTCAGATGTTCGAATTACTTCCCGACAGGGAATGTGAACCACATGTAACCACCGTCTTACAACTGGAATTGACCACGCGAAAGATGTTGTTCACTCTAGAAAAATATTGATTCACGACTGTTTTATTCAGTGTATAATTTGTGTGATTTATTCAAACTTTAATTTTCCCAGTCGCCCATCTCCTTCCGACACCCATCTCACCAATATGGATAGCCTTACAAAGTTGCTAAAATATTTTACTGATTAATGGCAATGGCGATAATGATTTCGTTCGGTTTTTGCATTCGCTCAATGCTAACAGATGCACACATACAGGTAACGCTCAGTAGCGTACTCTCTACATTAACTGTTCTCACATGCCCCCCCCCCGGCGTACGATTAGGTTCGTGGACCACAGTTGGAATTCTGGATTACGGTCATCACGTCTTTCTTCCCTCTCGCTTTGCTGGACTGTTTAAACTCATGTTTATTCGGTGTTTTTGCGTTATTGTCCGACTTTCACGTTCGGCTACTTTCCATAGTCGGTTATTGATCCCGATTGATTGATCACACTCTACGGCCTCGTTCTCATTTCCGACAATTATTCTTCGAACTCTGCAGTTCCCTTTTTCAAAACCCCACCCAAACGACAAACTGGTTACCGCAAGGCCATTTATGGTGTCAGAACTCAACCGGTCTTAACCCTTCCTATTTGTGCATCTGCCATTCTGTTATCCAGAGAATAATGACTGCTGACTGCAAAACCTATCCTTTGCAGTGTCTGTTAGATAATCGATAATTGTATTGCGTTTGTAAACATCAACTGGTCTATCTATTTTCCATACCGTTTAAACTCACAGTCTGTCGAAAAAACAGATATTGTCGAAACCAAAGTTAGAACAACGAGAAG